TCTGCCACTAACCGGGTTTGCTTTGCCTGATGTAGAACAAGGCAACTGATTCGCTAGCCTGGTGACACTAGCCTGGCCCTGCCTGGCCTGCAGGCATCATGCAGCATCACCAGCTCAGGCCCCCCAAAACGGCTTCTGATCTCACCCCACGCTGCTCTGCAGGTGGGGTGCAACCAACACGCCTCTGAGCAGCACCAGCAGCCGGCTGTCGGGGGAAGGTCGCAGACCCTGCTGGCCCATGTCCCCGGGCGAGTTGGTTGCGACAGCTGCTGAACTCAATCTGCCAGGCGGGCGTGCGGGCAGTGAATTATCTGATTTACAGCGGGCGGCAAGGGCTGTATGGGACTCACCCCCAGGGCGGGGACGGAGTCAGGGGAGGGCTGCAGGAGTTCATGGAACTTCCCCTGCGAGGAGCCTGGAAGTTCATTTCTATCCAGGGCGAGGTGAAGTCCAACCCCCGTTGGAACGCACCAAGTGGGGAGTGGAATGGGGCAGGGGAGAGCAAAGCTGCCACAGTCTTAATGTCAGACTTAGTTCTCCCCTTGAGCAGATCGAACTATTACCTGCAGGAGCCACAGCAACGCTGCCTGTGGTCTCCTTTCACACCTGGCTGTGTAGGACCAATCTAAAACCTCATAGCTAGGAGCACTCAAGATCTCTTCCCTTTGAAATGCAAAGAGCATCTGCAATTTTGGATAGCCCTCATGAAGGGTGCGGGAAGGGGTCCAGGGTGGGGAAAGCCCGGAAGAGTTTGGTTTTCAATCTTTGATTTCTACATTTGCCTGGCTTACAAAACCAGATGGAGATAAACATCCAGTAACAAGCCAACCCTGGGTTTTCAATTTTGAGCTGCCTGAACTCCTGCGCTAAGGCTCCCGATTTCCAGAACCGCACTGTCGCGTGTCACGAAACCCCCCCGGGTCGCTGGCACGGCGTCAGACAGCAGCCGGGCTGGGGCGTGTGGCAACACCAGCCAAGCAGTAAGAATGTTAAAAGACTCCCAAGCCACCCAGCAAGGCAGAGCGATCAGTGTCACACCCATCGTGGATTCTTACACCCTTGGTATAGTTCCTGGAAAAAAATAAAATGGCTGGAATAATAAAATCGCCCCTAAGATTTGGAAAATAATTTGATCATAAGTTTCTATATAGATCTCTATATGTATTTTACAATTTTATAAAGTGCAATCTACAGTCGTCTGCGTCCACCTCTATTTCAAATTCTGGGTGCCTGCAGGGTCGGGGAAGGGAGACGAGGGAGTAGGGGACAACACACGGACTCCTACGCTGCTGCCAACGGCATCTTGAGGCCCGGCCTTGGGAGAGGAGAAAGAGCGGATTCCGCAGCAGGTGAGCGTAAGACTTGTCTGGAGGGATGGGCCAGCCAGGCTCATGCTGCCCAGGAAGCCGGGACATTTGCTAACACTGTGTCGAGGAGGGAGCCGCAAGAGAACGCCCCAGGCGCCTTCACTCTCAATGGCCACCGGTTGCAATTTTAAGGGCTGGTCAAGGGTTCGCGTCAAGCGCCTGACAGTCTTGTGGATAAAACCCAGTTACAAACATTTGATCTTGTTTCATTACCCTCCTCGGCGCTGGGGATCATGGAGCGGGACAAGTGATTCGGCCTCTGCTCCCCGGGAGAATCATATGTAACACGAAGAAGGGCAGCGACCGGCTCAGCGGAGAGCTGGGGGCTGGAGTGGGGAGGGGTTTCCATGGGCCATCAGCGGGCAGGAAGCCACATGCGCTAAATGTACCGGGGACTTCATGGAAGCTACCGCAAGGGAGATGTGAGCATCTAGCGCCCCGCGGGGAAGACAATCCAAAGCGCAGCCCGAGTCCCACGCCAGTTCCCTTGCGGCTGTACGCCAAGTGCTCTAGGGCGAGGCGGAGGCAGGGAAGAGGGGGCAGAGGACGCTGTAAAAGTGGGCGTTGCTTTTATTCTTGCCGGTCCCTGGTCCTTCCGCCAACAGTCTCCCATCCTGGGACACGGCCGATGGCGACAGAGTCAGACTGTCTAGTGGGCAGCTCCTCCTCCCACCCCTCAAACGCCTTGGGAGAGCTTGGGCAAAGGCACCCTGCTGTGTACCGGGGTGCCGTCCCCTTGGAGGTCACATTCCCCTCCACAAGTTCCGGAAGAACCAAGCCGCTCCGGGTACCAGGCGGCCCCTCGGTCTCCGTTGTCCCGGTGGCAGCACTGCCCGGGGGCAGGGAGGAATCGCTCACGTGCCCAGCTGGGCAGGTGTGTGCCCCGGGCCCAGAAGGCCTGTAAAGGGAGGGGAGGGGGACTTGGGCGCAGCCCAGCAGTGGGAGGAGGGTGGCACGTTAGCTCTGGATCCAGCGTTGGCAAGACTCAGAGTCCGGGAGATGAGGGGAGAATCTGAAGGATGATTCTG